AGAGAGAGAGCGCACGGGGGAGGGGCAGAAAGAGAGACAGAGGATCTGAAGCAGGCTCTGTGCTGACAGCAGACAGCCTAATGTGGGGCTTGAACTCACAAACCGTGAGACCATGACCTGAGCCGAAGTCACACACTTAACCGACTGAGCCATCCAGGGACCCCCAAAGGGAATGAATTAAAAAAAACCAAAACCAAAACCCAACCCATAGTGAATCACCTCCAAAATCCAGATATGATTGAGGGTGTGTTGAGCACTATCACTAAGGTAAAACGTGGAAAACTACTTCTCAAAGTCCTTTTTTATACAGATTCTGCTTTTCAGAATGAAGTACTATCTGTTGGAAAAAAAAAAAAATGGATTCCATGACATTCCTAGCCCCCAGAAGAGGCCTGATGAAGCCAGTTGCTTCGCTGAATTCTTTGCAACATTATAGTATGTAGTTCTCAGGGTGGGTTGGAGGGAAATAGAGTGACTCCTAGCTTATGGGTAGGAGTTTCTTTTTGGGGTGATTAAAATGCTCTAAAATTGTGCTGGTTGCTTAAAGTCTGCATACACTAGAAACGATAGAACTATAGATTTTAAATGGGTGAACTGCACAGTATGTGAGTTATAGCTCAATAAAGCTGTTTCATATATGTTTTTATTTTTTATTATTTTTTTAAAGCTTATTTATTTTTGAGAGAAAGAGACACACAGAGTGTGAATGGGGGAGGGTCAGAGAGAGAGGGAGACATAGAACCCGAAGCAGGCTCCAGGCTCTGAGCTGTCAGCACAGAGCCCGACGTGGGGCCTGAATTCACAAACGGTGAGATCAGACCCAAGCTGAAGTCAGACGCCTAACTGACTGAGCCACCCAGGAGTCCCATATAGATGTTTTTTAAACTAGTAATTCCGTCTAAATAAACATCATCTCCTCCAATGGGATCGATCCACGGAATTGAATGTCAGAATCTTGAGAATGACTCCACACCTTTCTTCACATCTGTCTGCTTGATGGGCAGATTCCCCTCCTGTTCCTCCTTTCCCACCCAACATTCACCCTTCCTTAAAAGGTCTACTTTGAGCCTCTCCCTCCAATCCTTCACAACTTCTTCTGAAATGCAGAATCTGTATCTTACACTGTGCTACTTTATATAATGAACGAAATGATCAACCCGCTTTAATTACCAGGGACTACCCTGATTGGAGTCCCTGATATTGACATCCCCTCACCCTTCATCTTTCCCTTCCTTCCTCATCCAGCAGCCTCACACACAATTGTTTTAGGCTCTCTGAGCCACCATGTGGATCTCCACAATGGACAGCCACACAACTGTATGCACCATTTCAGGTGCAGATGTTCTGTGGCTTTGTTTCTAATTCCTTCTCAGTGTATTCCATTTATTATTATTTTGAGCCACAAAAGCACACTGAATCAATGCCTTCACAGACGACTCTGTCATGATCTCCAAACTCCTTTCCCGGCAGGATTAAAATGAGAAATCTCTGCCTTGCCACATCCAACATTCTACCCCACTACTTTGAAATCTTCCATTTGGGACCCACTCACCTGGGACCCAAGGTAAGTGTTCTTGATAGTGTATGGCTACCTGGGGGTTGACTGGAAGGAGGGAAAGGATACGCAATCTCCCAGGTTACTGTATTGTCAAACAAGTCCAGGCTAGACACCAATCCCAGGGGACCCCAGATGCTAATGCTTACACTCCTCCCTTCAGAGTGACCATTTATTTCTATCCTGTGTAAGTCAGTGTCCTCTCAAGAACCACTTTTAAAAGACACTTTCCAGGGGCACCTGGGTGGCTCAGTCAATTAGGCACGCAGTTGATTCTTGATTTTGGCTCAGGTCATGATTTCACGGTTCATGAGATTGAGCCCTGGGTTGGGCTCCGTGCTGAGCGTGGAGCCTGCTTGGGATTCATATTCATTCTCTCTCTCATTCTCTCTCTCTCTCTCTCTCTCTCTCTCTCTCTCTCTCTCCGGATTCATATATTTTCTCTCTCCTCCTCCTCCCTCCCTCCTTCCCTTTCTGTCCCTCCCTGGCTTGCTCTCTCAAAATAAATAAACATTAAATAAAGTTCTTAGTAAGTTCGACCACTGATTATTACTAATTATGTTGCTAACGACTCAAAACACTCTGGTCATCAAAAACAATGTTGATGCTCCAAAGGTCCTTTTGAAGTGTTCAGGGATCCTACCCTTTCCAGAGCCTCCACCAGCTTGCCTAATATAAATAGATGCACCCCCATTCTGCATTTCCCAGGGATTCTGGGTTTGTTGAAGTCATACTGGCATGTGGCCCATCTCCTGGCACAGTACCCTTTGTAATGGCAGGTTACACATATTTGTCAACAGTTTCCTAATCTTACATACAGGCTTTCAAAACGCTTGGGAGGTTTCCATCCCAGTCCAGTGACATAGCTGATTGGTTGATTCACATTCACTGCGGCCTAAAACACCTCTAATAGCTATAGCTTGTGTGAAATAATCTGAGAGAGCATCGCTAACATCTGCAGCAGGAAAATCCACACGCTTCAGATTTTACTTTTTCTTTAACCTCCTTTTCCTTGAGAGCCTTCCTCTTAGTCTCCATTACTCAATCCCTGCTCACCAGGTCTTTCTCAAGCCCTCCGATTTCAAGTCTTCAGAGCTCTAATGAAACCTCTCTTCAGCTCCCATACTCACCCGGTCACGTCCACCCTTAGCCAGCGAGACATTGGCAACAGGGAAGGAGCAGAGTAAGGAGGTGGAGGAATCACAGTCAGTCCTAGATGAGAATGGGGATGATACTCTGCTAAGTTAAGAGGGTCTGCCTTACCTGTCTGTACACTTCCTTGGGCCCCTAGGGCTCCCTCTTGTCCCCCATCCCTTCTTCCAGAACAGGCACCCTTCTCTCTGTCAGAGAGAGATGGAGAAGAAATGCAGCCAGGAGATTCAAGACACCTGAATGATTCTTTCATTCTCTTCCTGCCACCTCAGCTCATCTCCTCTCATTAGAGTGGAAATTCTTAAGCAGGACTCCATGGACACTTCGTTGAATAGTTTCAGACTCAAATGTTTCTCAAGACTCATTTGGAGAGCTTCATAAAAATGCAGATTCCTGGGTCCTAGCCCCAGAGTCTGATTTAGTAGTTCTGGTCTGGGGCCTAGTTTGAGGAAAGTCCTCCCAAGGAATCCACAGATGGTCTTAAAGAGGCTGACACTCCTCTCCAACTTGTAAGCAAAATTATACATGGGTGTGCGTATGTATATATACATATGTATACACACATATACACATATGTGTATGCATATATATATATATATATATATATATATATATATATATATACGTATATATATATACACACACACACACATACAGATGTCTGTATGAGCTTTAAGTAAGTCCTACACCCAACATGAGGCTTGAATTTATGACCCTGAGATCAAGGGTCACATGCCCTCCCGACTGAGCCAGACAGATACTCCCTTGCATACATGTTTTTATAGCAGAAAGGGCCATAGCTTTCATGAGATCCATGCCTCCTAAAAGTTTAAGCAGCTCTGAGTTAGAAACTACAGTTCATGATCAGGGACTCAAGACGGGAGAGGGGGAAAATGACTTTGGACCATTGATAACAATGTCCTTGTCAGCATCTCTAGATTAGTCCTATGGCCCATGTTAAGAGAAGGGGAGAGAATTTGGTTAAGGCCCGTAAAATCAGAAGGAACTGAAGTCCCAGGCAAGAAGCAGGACTCTGGGACTTTAGGTACCTAGTCACTTTGTGTTTGCATAATCTCTACTGTGCAGGATTGTCAGGAGTGGGAGGAAGGCAACTTGTTGCTTTCCTAATACGTTCTTTACTGAAGGCTAGCTTAGTTCTGAGATGACTCGAGGGATGCGGTTGGCTAAGAGGTCTAGAGCGGCCCTGAGAGAGGTCTGATCCAACCCAAACAGAACAGACCCACAGAGTGACAGCCTAAAAGAGGGATTTTTTTTTTCCTTCTTTTTAATCAAAGATTTCAGTAACCAGAGGTAGAGCTAGGACCTCAGAGCGCTACCAACCCAGAGCTCCCTCAGCCTTGGGCTGTGGAAGGTAAGAAATCATATAAACACACTGGGCTCCAATATTCTCCTCTGTAAATGAGGGGGTTGAACTGAATAAGCTCTAAGGGCCCTAACAGCAATTCTCTCAAAGGATGACCCCACTTCAGGAGAAGACCCCTCTCACCTGTAGTAGAAATGCACAGGGCTGAGGTGGCTGACTGTCGGCATGTAGGAATAGTAGAAAGAGCCGTAGAGGAAGACAGACACCCAGAGCAGGAGAAGGATGGTACAGAAGAGCACCCCAAACTGCAGCAGCAGCTTGCGGGCACGACCCGCCAAGACGTGGCCCACCTCCTGGGCCCACAGCAAGGCGGGTACTGGTGGGTCATTGACCATGGCAGGGAGTGCCGAGTGTCTGGCCCCAGGTTCAGGCTTTGAGTTCTTAGCTGCTCGGTCACTTGGACGCCACCCCTGGCCATGGGCTGAAGAAGCTGGTGGTTCCTGGAAAAAGACAGAGAGGGGGGAAAAATGGCTCTTTCCCCAGGGATGGTGGAGACAACAAGGACAAGTTTACTGGACTGGCTTTGAGGAACCAGAGATAGCTGGACACAGCATAGACTTTGTTTCATATGGCTTTTCTCCAAATGGCTACGCTTCCCAACCAATTATCCCTTCCCTTTCTTTCGCTGTGCTTTCTTCGCCCCCAGTGCCAGAACAACTTCGCTGAATTTGTCCTCTGGACACCTGATTCTGGGACAGGCTACCTTGACACTCATCCATAGCAATATATAATATACATAAAACGAGCACCTTAAAAGGCTTTTACACACGTGATGACACTTTGTCCACACTGCGAGGTGGCTGCACGGAGAGACTGCGCGACTTGCCTAAGGTCGTACAGCCGCACTGAGAGCCAGCTGCCTAAGTGCCGTCAGAACTGTCTCCCGAGTTTCTCCTCTCCCGAGCGCACAACTGCGCTCGCTCCCGGACAGGGCCGCCCTCCACGCCGGGCCGGGAGTCCTGCAGCCAACGGCCGCTCCCCGCCAGCACCCCTTCCGGCTGGCGGTGGGCGCGGCGCCCGGAGCCCCCACCTAACCGCGCCCCCAGGGAAACCAGCCCGTCCGCCGCCGTAGCTCTGCAGACTCACCAGCTCGCGGGCTGCCGGGGCAACGGCGACAAGAGACTTCCGCCTCCCGTGGCAGCCCCGCCCCCTCCCGCCGGCCGCCTTTGCGGCCCCGGGAGGCGGGACCTCACTCAGGGGAGGAGCCCGGCGCAAGGGGCGGGGTCTGCCGGGCGGCGGGTTTCCCACCTCGCGCTCCGCGCAGAGTCTCTCCCTGCGGTCGGTTACCCAAACCAAAGAGGACAAGCGCCTTCCTTCAGGCCTCAAGATTTGCCCCCACGGCATGCTATGAGTCAGCAGCATCCCCCCTCAGGCCGGCCCTCCGCCCACCTTCACCACCGGCCATTTAAACCCCGCAAAGGGGGAAAGAGGCGGTTATCCAGCTGGCGCTGATTTTTGTCGCCCACAGCTCCTTGCACCTGTAGGCGTCCTAGGCGGAGGGCACTGCCGGCCGGCCCCTATTCACAGCTGTGATAGTATTTCAGCTCCGTGTTTTGTCTCCAGCATTTGGGATCGACATCCTCTGACCCTAACTAGACTCCCTCAGAGTCCCCACAGCGCACCAATCTAGACTAGATCTTGGCAGACGGTACCTTCTATTTTGTACATGACTCTTCACCCCGAATAACATCCCTCAGAGGGTGAGGTCAGTGTACGTCTTTGCATTCCACACAGCACCAAGCACAGCTCTGCAGGTCTGGGAAGTATTCTATCAAACCAATTCCCCCCACCCAAAACCCACCCAGGAAGCCCATCTGTTTCAATAAACACCCAATGACTCTCCCCACAATTCCGCCTACCTCTTCTTTGTCCGATTCTTTGATCTGGTATCTGCACACCTCTTTCCCCCCAGCTTCTTGTTCTTTAGGCATCTTCCTGACGTCCCTTGTCGCCCCTGGATCTTCCATTCGAATCACTTGTGGCTAGAATATGAACTGGTTGGTGATCTAGAAGCTGGTTACCTGTAGCTCATCACATTTTCCTGGGTATAGGGAATGGAGGGTCCCTGGGAAAGACAAGAAGATTCAGGTACTACATGCTATGTCAGAGCCGAGGGAGGAGGGAGGAGGGGAGGGCGACTGCCCAGCTGATGTCAGATTTTCAAATGAGCAGGGTCCCCCGCAGCCAGTACTGACTCCACTGCAGGGGATGTCACAGGTCCAGACCACCCCATTTAAAGGGGGGGGGGTGGAGAGTCGGCCTGGGCCTCAGCTCCTTCCAGCTCCTTCGTAGCCCAGACTCAGAATGCCTGCAATGGGGGAAGGGCAGCTAAGAGAGACCGTTAACAGTGGGGGTGTGCGTAGGGGCTGCAGTCAGCAGCCAGGCTCCCCCATTGGCCGGGCAGTTGGTATGCTCCAGTATCCGAGCAGCTCCTTCTAGCATCCTTCATCCTTCAGGTACCAGCGTCTGGGCAGTGCTTGAGCTTCAGGAACTGGGTCCAGCCCTCCACGGACCTCTGCCCTGACCCTCCCCAGTGGCCTTCTTTGTGTCAGCTGCTTCGGCTGCTGCAGCAGATACTTTCAGCGGCAACTCCCTGCAAGGTGGGGCGCCCATCTCAGGCAGGTTTTGTGCACCCCACTGACTACTCCCCAGGGCTGCCACACTGCCTGTGGCTTCAGGTGAGTAGGGAGCATCCTGCTTTTCTCCCGTTGGGGCTCAAGGGGGCAGGTGGGGGTTATGTGCCCTCCTCAACAGGGCGGGGCTCTTTCTGGTTGAGGCTTCCAGAGCTGGGAACACATGGCTGGAAGAGCCAAAAAGCCTTAAATCGTTTGTATGTTTAATGATCTGTGGCCCAGGTCGTGTGGGAATTTGGGGGGTATCTCATTCCACCTTCTCCATTTCCTTAGCCTGGGAAGACAGGGATGGGAAAGGCCCCTGGAGGATGGAGATACGAGAAACAAAATACTGGGCCACATGACCCCAGCCTTGTAAAGACAGATGAAAAATGAACATGGGAGGGGGTTGGTCTTCAGATAAGATTAGGCAGCACCCACCCACCTCCATTATGCTCCGAGCTATCCCACTCTTTTCTCCAGAATGAAAGGGGAGACCCCTGTGAACAGCACTATGAGTATTGGGCAAGCCCGCAAGATGGTGGAACAGCTTAAGATTGAAGCCAGCTTGTGCCGGATAAAGGTGGGTGGACCCTGGATCCTATTAGTTGGCCCACTTGTGCTGTAGGTCCCCAAACCTCAGGTTAAGAGATGTTTTCTTTCCTTGACTCCCTGCCATCAGGGGAGGAGTCTCCGGTTCTGTAAGGGCAGCCGTCCCCTGGCCGCTGTCAGGGATGAGGGAAGAGAATACTGTCTTAAGGAGCCCTAGAGATGGCAAAAGATAACCCATTTGGGGAGGGAGGCTGCAGCCCCTCTCAGGGGATCTGGCTAACCATTCCCCTCCTGGCTGTGTCCCAGGTGTCCAAGGCAGCAGCAGACTTGATGACTTACTGTGATGCCCACGCCTGCGAGGATCCCCTCATCACCCCTGTGCCCACTTCGGAGAACCCCTTCCGGGAGAAGAAGTTCTTCTGTGCCCTCCTCTGAGTCGCCCCGTCCCTCCCCACAAGCTCTTCACCTTTCCTCCTCCTAGGCCCTTCCTTAGGTCAGTAACTGTCGTGAGCCCCTGAGGGTCCCTGCATCCCATCCCTAGCCCTTGTCCAACCCTGTGAGGTTATCTGAAGCACAAGGCTCTCCGTCACCCCATTTCCTCGCCCACTTCGGCCGACCCCAAGTACCCCCTGACTAGGGGAGCCCCCTTAGCTCCGTCCCCAGAAGGGCCGTCCGACTGCCAGCGTCCTGCCGGCTTCTCTCTGTGACCCGCTCAGACAATGGAGAGAGGGATGGGCCGGGTGCTTGCTCTCAGTCTCACCTGGAGCTATCAGAAGGGTAAAGCCATTTGAAGAATAAAGTCATCCAGAGTCTCAGAGGACAGCTCTTGTGTTAGCGTTCTTGGGGAGAGGATCATCAATCTGTAGATCTGGGACTGTGTACGGCAGGTGAAAGGCTTGCCATACCCAAGGAATAGGGTTAGTCAAATCAGTTTAGACACTGTCTAGGATCGGGGACCGCCTGGATTGGGGGGATGGCGGGCGCAAGAGAGCGTCTCGAGTGGAAGAATTTAGTTACACCAGACACTCAGGGGGCCACGGAAAGCATTCACACCCCCGCGCGCGCGCGAAAGCACTGAACGCAAGTGAAAATGAAAACAGACCGAACAGGGCGGCTCTTGGGAAGGGATCTTGAGGGCAGTGGCAGACAGCAGGAACTCAGTAACGGAGGGGAGGAGCTCGGCCCCAGTTCCTGCGAAGGGGCAGGTTTTGCTTCTAAGATGGCCGCGCCCACAGTGGGCCCCTTTCCAAGATGGCCACCGCCATGGGATCCGCGCCAATATGGCGGCCCCACGTCACTGGGTTTCACCGTACAGGGCTTCCGAGCTATCCCCATACTTAAAATGGCGGCCCCAGGCATCTAGAGTTCTCAATATGGTCCCTTCTGTGTTCATCTGGTCTCAAAATGGCTGCCCCTGCCCTCGTCAACTCGATGCCCATTCCTCCCCACCCCGGAGTCTCGAAGTCGACGTCTCCCCAATCCAGGTGAAGGCACACGGGTGACTATAAGCAAAGATCGTGGGACAAGGGGAGCCCGGGAAGCACAGCGTAGCAGGCGCTGGGAGCGTGGATCTTGCGAGGGAATCTCGTTTCTACTGCTTGCCAAGCAGAGGATGTCTTTGGAGTGTAAACAGAAGTGTGAGGTCAATGCCCGGCGCCGTTCCTCTCAGGCGCCCTTCCTTGGTTGCCTCCTGGTGTCCCTAGGAGCTGGATAAGCCCGAAACTGTTTCAGTTTGGGCTTCCTGGTAGAGCTTACTATGTTCCCCTTTCCCTCTCAGACCCATTCGGTCACATCCGCTAGAAACAACGTCCCCGCCCCTCGTGTGCCTACCAGCCTTCGTAGTGGTCCCAGCATGCTGTCTGGCCAGATGCCAAAACTAAGGCTTAAGGTCTCACGAGCGCCTCCCAGTTTCAAACTTGGCGGAGGTTTAGAAGCCCAGAATGCTCTTCTAGAAAAAAGCCTTTTCCTTCCAAGGGCGAACATATGGAGGTGGGACCAGGGCCAAGGCAGGTAAGGTAACAGTCCGAGGGTGTCTGCTTCTTATGCACTATCAACATCCCCCAAATTCAGGAATACATCCTAACCGTAGGAAGCCTAGGTCATGTTTCTTGCTGGAATACACTTTCCGGGGGTGGGGGGGGGGGGAGTGCTGAAGGGAGGAGCCACCCTGAAGTAACAGAAGGGTGACCTGTTTTAGGGATAGCCATCACCCCCAGCTTCCCCACACCCCCACTTCCTTCACGCAGTAAGACAGTAAGCATACAGGAATGCAGAGAGGAAACCAAGGGAATAAAGGGCATTCTACCAGGAACCGAACTTAGTCTCCTACGGATGTATCCACAGGTCCAGGGGCACCCGATGAACTTGGGGCACCTTCAGGAACAACAGCTTTCCAGCTGCTGCTGAATTTCTGAGCCCGAACAGGCCCTGGAGGTAATCTAATTCATTACCTCATCCTACAGTGGGGACCCTACCCTCATTCTGTTCAGGAGTCCGCTTTAGTTTCTTCTTGGGTGTTTCATGAAAACTCCTGAAAGGATCAAGTCTATTTTAATCCCTGCATCCTGAAAGAGTCTGGCACATAGCTGGCACTCAAATATTTAATGAATGATTGTACTCTATACGCTTAAGTAGCAAGCAATGCAGAGCAGTCACTAAGAACCTTGCTCTTTTTCTACTGCATCAAAGTGTTGGGCAAACTCCAGAAGAGTAAGTGAAAATTTCCACGTAAGTTCAGACTTGGTAAAAAGCCAGAAGTGCTCACTAAAGGTAGTCTTGATAGGAGTTGTGTGTGTGTTGTTTTAAGCCTCTGCTTAATTTTTCTGCACAACTTTCATACTCCTCAGATTGGGGGTGATGGCTGTAGCCCTAGCTGGGGAAAAAGGGGGTTTAAGAGGTTACCAGAGACCAGACGTTAACTATAATTAACCACTAAAACTTATTAATTAGCTCTAACACTGAGTAACTTTAAATATCCCAGAGTATGGGCAAACACTGAAATCAAGGATAGCCTTTATATATACACAGCTGTAGGTCCCTGGGGTCTGAACATCTGTCTCGTACAGAGGGAGGAGTTAGAGCAGGACCTATATCTGTTACAGCACAACCGTTTCCAAACTGGCGTTGTGAGCCTGTAGGCATCTCAGCCTTAATGAGTCCTTGAACATGTATTAGAATTACAATTAGGATCAGTTAGTGCTAGTAATGCAGTGGTGCTTTTGTTAATTCAAGTGACGTTCTTATTCCCCAAAATAAGCCCTATCTAACATCTTCCTTGGTATAGGAAGGCTTTTCCTCCTAAGTGACAACTAATCATTAATAAACTTACTTGGCTCCCAAACGGAACCGGCTTTACCTTGAACCTTAAGCATTTGAGTGGTTTTAGTACAGGCCAAATGGATCATGATTTATCATGTATTTTCTTCTACTCCAGTGGCCCAGGTGCTCAGAAGCAGGCACTAAGGAGGCTAACAATCATCAAGTGAATAGTAGAATCAGAAGGGAGTGAGAGCCACGCAAGAGGAAAGCCAGCCTTGGTTGGACCCAGTACAACTTGAGGAAGCAGCACCAAAAATCGGTCAATCCGTCCCCCCCATGACACACTCCACCCCAGTCAGTGCAGCCACAGGAGATAGGGTGAATTCAATCCAAATGGTTATTTATTCTAAAACTGGAAGCTACGGTGCCTACATTTTTGCCAGGATGTAATGAGAACAGGGGAGGAAAAAGTTACAGATGTAAACAATGACACAGTTACATTTTTTTTTTTTTTAAACGGTAAAACCCTTTTTTACTGGCCACTTCCAAGAATGCTTTACAGGTTGTGCAAAAACATTTACAGGCTCCATGTGGTGTTTGTTTTTCTCACAAGCATTTCCATCTACAACAACTACAAAAGACGTCTGATAAAACACTAAACAAGTCTTCTAAGGAAAACAAGGCTAGGGATCCCTCTTGGTAAATCCACATTTTCCCCGTAACATTTTTTTTTTTTTTTTTTCCACAATAAAA